ATCCATTTCCACTGTACACATCCAAGATATGTCATGCCAATGTCGTGGCACACAACGCGTCTGCAGCAGTTCTCTCTTGGAATACCTGCGTCGCAATAAGCACGTTTCTACCAGCAAGCTGTCGGTATCTGAAGCAAATGAGATGTAAGCACTATTGTCAAATTGTCATTGTATTTCGGCAACTATTGACTCTAAAAGCACAACCCAGAATCAGACTGCCTCTCCGTTGCTACGCCTACCGCGAGAGCTGCGAAATCAGATCTATGGGTACACATTCGCTTGTTACTTCATTGATATCCTACATGTGGCTCGAGATCGTCTCCTAATCAGAGTTTTTCATCAGCTTTGCCGCCAGTACCGCTGCTACGAGTCTTTAGACCGGCTCCTTTACCCCTCTATGGTCTGCCGCCAGGTTTACAACGAAACTGCCTTCTTGCCATTTTCCTTGAACCCACTTCATGTCGGTTTTGGAGAACTCGCAACTATCGAGAACCTCATACCTGCTGGCGTAGTCGCATGTTTCAAGAAATTGTCGGTGTTCAATGATCGCTCGCTGAAGCAGCTCAAGGAATCTGGACACGATGTCAATTTGGAAGCATTGTGCAAATTTCCAGATTGGAAGACCGTTCTTGTGGTAAACATGGAAGGAGAGGTACAACCGGAGAGGACCGAAGAATTGAGGAAGAGAGTGGCGGCATACGCAGGTGCTGCCGGGCATATCAAGACTTCGCAGCCATAGCAGTTAGATAATACTACATCTTGCGAATAAATTATCGCGTTAAGACGTCGCTAGTAGCTCCCGAGGTCACTTGGGTTCCGCCTGGCCCAGCGCATAGCAGTCTCATAGCTTTGCGCAGCTACTGTATGAAGTCTTGCGAACACGGCACCATAAATTTGAGGTCAATAATTTGTGTCTACTCTTCCGAGAGTCATTTTATTGTTTTATGACATCTGTGCACCGCCCAAGTGTCCAGGTGGTGTCGCGATATCAGTTGTCGCGATTGATGACGTCACGCGTGACAACTGTCCGTAGACCTCCAACTCCCTTGGCAGGTACCGCTTCATCACAAACAACGACCTCAATCATCCTCAGGCATTTCTTCTTTGCATATAAGCATCATAGAATTGCCGTTCACAGAACCTTAGAAGCACGACAATCATCACACTGTCAATATGGCGACGTCAGACGAGAAGACGCTGCTAGACCGCGTCTTCGCCGCCAAAACCACCGAAGATTCGCGCGAACTATACGACGAATGGGCGAAGACATACGACTCCGACATGACTCTGCACGACTTCACCGCGCCACGTCTCGTCGCGCAAGCAGTAGCCCGAGGCCTGAAGCTAAACCACATCTCACCCGACAAGCCTCTCGCTGGCCTTAAGATCGCGGATGCAGGATGCGGTACCGGCCTCGTTGGTGTCGAACTCTCCAGGCTTGGCGCTACAGATATTCTGGGCCTCGACATTAGCGAAGGCATGCTAGCCGTCGCTAAGAATACCGCGGTGTACGATGACCTTACGACCGCGGACTTGACGAAGAGGTTGGAGTTTGAGGACGGAAAGTTTGATGCGCTGACGTGCTGCGGTACGTTCACACATGGTCATCTCGGACCAGAGCCGCTGGAGGATTTCGTAAGGGTTGTCAAGGATGGTGGGGTTGTAGTCGCAACCGTGCTAGATAGCTTCTGGGTAGAGAAGGGGTTTGAGAAGGAAGTGCAGAGACTGGAGAAGGAGGAGAAGGTTGAGATTGTAGAGACGGACTTGCATCAGTACCGGAAGGATGCTGGAGGTGGGCGTGTGATAATCTTGCGGAAGCTGTGAGCTTGAAGCGTATGGCGAAGGTGCATATATCATAGCAAGTGCACTGGTACAAGAACTACGAGCCTTCTAAAACTATACACATGCGCAAAGTGCGGTATCGTAGCAAAAGTCCCTGGTGGACTACAATCACAACTTCCGCAACATCGACGAACTAGACGAAAAGATATCCGAACAAATCAGAGAAGTCGTAAGTATTGTATGCTGAACTACAAGATTCCCGCATACCTCGCCTAATCCTACATAACCTCCCACCTTTCCCCCATGACGTGTTTGTAACAGGGAGTCGGTGCATCGATCAACGTAAATTCAGTTCCTTTCTCAAACCAACCGCGAACATGGTTTTGAACATCAATGAGCGCATCCTCAGTTTCCTTCAATCTGAGATCTCTGAAGAATTTCTCAATTCTCAAACGCAAAACCTCGTTGCCCTCTGGAACATGACGTCGGTTCCATTCATGAGCAAACAAGACCGGGTCTCCCACGACCTTAGGAGCCCAAGAATGCACTTCGGCCTTTCGCAGGTTAGGAAGATCTGTCGGGAGGTAAAAGTCTCGGTAAAGTCTGGTCCAGTTTTCGTTTTCGTAGATGCGAAGCACTGCAATGGCGTCTCGCACGTCCCTGGGCATCTTTTCCACGGCGTAAAGTAGATCTCCGGGACGTCCACAGAGAGGACTCAGCTTGAATACCAGCAACCTGGTCTCCGCATAGTATTGGCGGCATACTAGTAGATATTTGAGAAGCGAGGATAGGGATTGTGAAGCTGGCTTTGTCCCGCGCACAGGATTGGGGTTGTAATCAGGCCTTTTGTATTTGCTCGCGTTGTAATCCCAGGGGCGCATATCATAGAAGTTGATACAGTCCACGCGGAAGACGTGTTCGTAGATCCTATTGCGAAGTTCTGCGGGCAAGCGTAGTAGGGGCGATTCAGTCTGGTTATGCAATGTGCTACGCTGATGTTAGTGCTGTTTCGAGCCAGATTCGAGAGGTATCATGACTACTTACACAGCGTCCATTTTGTCAAAGAGATCTCTTGGGCGCGAAAGTTTTGGTGTGCAATGATTGACCGTACTTCGATAATGTTGTCGTAGAGAAGAGGGGTTGCTGACATGGGTCCACATGTCACGACGGAACGGCGTAGCCCGCTTGTCCTATCTGAGCCTAGTACCATTGCTGCCTTCCACCTGGGCACCTGCAGATATCCTTCCAAGGTCACCTCATCTAATCGTACAATACTTTTACAAGATACATGATACATCAGTCCATCACAACCATTCCGCGCAGATAGCCGGCATATCCGAACGGCGTCGGTCGCGTGAATTGTGAGACAGCAAGTCCTAGCCCCAGTCCCGCGCCCGCCACGCTCGTTTCTTGGATTGACGCGCTCGCATCGCGCCAACGTTCAGTTCCAACAAAGCATTCGCCTTCCCAGTCGTATTCGTATCGCTCAGACACATCATGCTCTGGAAAATATTCTGGTACATGCCCGCATACACGCGCAAAGAACTCGACCAGGCCTTCGCTCCTTCCTTCGTTGAAGTACAGTCGTCCTCCGATGATTGGCCAGGCCGCTGAGAACCGAGCTTTGGATATTGAGCCACACGCCAGCCATTCTGAAGGACGGATGTATCTCAGGTCGAGATCGAGGAGTGGTCTAAGATCAGCCACACAAAGCCACCTGTCTTCGCGACCTTTTGCGCCTTTCCATGTGGGTATCAAAGCACCGTGAGCACTAGCTGGGGTCATCAAATCGATCACCAAGCCTGAAGCCTGGATTTGGACCATCTGAATAGCATTGTGACCTCGGATGTGAAGATCATACGCTTCACGCAACGCTGCAGCTGCTACTAGTCAGTATGAAAACCATACGGAAAGACAAGATATCCCACCGAAGTCACTGAAGACCGATATGAACGGACTAGCTTGTGTGTCGCGAAGACGAAGGTGTTCTTCTATGCATTCCAGGCTGGAACGATGATCCGAAAAGACACATTCAGCCTGAAACAGCCTCGCGCCAACTGATGATCTCGGTTGGTAGATCGTTGCACTGTGCTCACTGAAGACGTGATAGAAGAAAGGACCATCAAAGTCGTCGATGTGCTCGACTTGAAGCAAGTCGCTGCTGATTGGTCGGTCAAAATCTAGTCGCATCATCGATCGCCATTCACGTACCTCAGCATTGTTCCATCACAATCCATCTCAGACCTTTACACCATCTTCCGTCATCTCCATTTTCGAGCAGCACAGTCCCTTGCGAAAGTTACTGAAGTTGTCGCATGGCATCCCGTGGTGTAGGAAAGTCTTCGGCTCGGCTGGTCCGTGATGGCGCAAAGCTCGCACCACCGCGATGCAGCATTTTTCCCGCCCATCGACCTCATGTCAGCATGCATCAACTTCGTCTTTGAACAAATATTTCCAATCTATGACGTGCGTGTAGATCAGTTGTATCTGATCACGTGAAATCGACGTCGGCCGGGATGGCATTCTTCGTATTCACCGTTCTTTCCAGATGGGGCAGCCGTGGCAGATTCTTCTGGCCACTTGATGTGCCTACTGCCCTCCAGACGCACAAATAAGACCCGTTCAAAGCGCTTCCAACTCACGCGGAAGTGAATAGTACTTTCTTAATCGGCCGCTGAGTCACCATTGACCCTGGTGAATGCTCGAGGCTCGTCCACATCCAGCTACCGGCTTAGTGAACGCATTCCCTTCCTGTTCAAATATTGGCTTGCCAACGGGCTCCACTTCCCTAAACCATAACTCTACAACTTCAAGAGTAGAAGGTATTTACACCCAATGGAAACCGCCCGCGAATCCGACAGGCCATCACTAGAAGAAGCAGTAGCGACTTCGCAACATGTCTCCGAAGCTGTTCACTCTTCGCCTCAGAGCCGTGAAACTCAGACAGACGCACAGATGCATGCAGAAGCTGCAGACAGTCAAACTCGCCTGGAGAGTAGGGAAGATGCAAGTGCAACTAGTGTTCCAGCAAATCTACCTACGATTACACTGAGTATGCCTTCCCCGCCGCCACTGTATGATCAGTTGTTTCCACCGCAGGGACCTGAGCAGCAAATTCCAGCCAGCCAAGGCTCTCCACAGGCCGTATCGGCAACAAGTAACCAAGGGCCACAGGCGTTGCACCGAATTGATCAGCCAACGTCAGGCACTCCCCCTCAATGCCCAACACCCACCGCCACGCCCGTCAATCATCCGCCAGTCCAAATCGTCCCCCGACGGCAGGAAGACATTGATGAAATCTTCGAAGCTATAGAAACCAATAACTTCGACAGTCCCATCTTCGGGGAAGCAGGTGCGGTATACCACGACAAACTAACACGTCGACTCATGCCTAGGACACCAATGTTTCAGCATTACAACATCATTCCTGAGGTGCCGCACCCAAGGACTGTAGCTGCTCCGAACGATAGACTGCAAACACCTGATACGCCGACACCTAAGCCAAAGCCTAAGCGTAAGCCTAGGAAGAGGAAGCGCGATCAGACGCCGCAGGAGCCGGTTGACCAGGAGGAGGTAGTGGTAAAGCAAGAGCCGGTGGAGAAGAAGCAGAAGGGTGTGAAGGTAGAAGATACCGCGTAGAGGCCACAACGTTGCAGATGGCTGACTTGTTTGATCTGGACGGAAGGAGCCTGATACAAAGCTCATAAGAATATGGAGTATCTCATAAATGAAAGGAAGACTCTCTGGCGCAATGGTAGCGCATCACGCTTCTATTCAAGCGTCGTCTACATCTTTGAGAGTGGACGCACTCCGGGATGGAAGGCCCGCTTGAACCGTGAAGGTTATGAGTTCGACTCTCATGGGAGTTAATGGCTATTGTTTTTGCGCGTCAAGTAACAAAGTCATGCTACACATGCCTTTGGCATCTTTTTTTGCTTCCAATGATAGAATTATCTATTGCTTCGTGATCATCTTCTCACTCAAATCTCGCCTGCACAATCTACCACTCCCCCAAATCCTCCCCCGTAAGATTCGGCCTAACATTCCCTCCCTCCAACCAAACCTTACACTTCCCATACAACACATCCCTCTCCGGCCCATGCGCATTCAAATCCATCTTCGGCGGCCTCCCCGCCTTAATCTCCGCCCAAGCCAGATACCGATACCCACTCGGATACTGCCTGACCTCTTCCTCGGGTACATCGAACGCCTTGCCCGGCACTACAGGGACCATCTTATCCTTATCGAACAACAACGTCATGAAATTGACACCCCACTTCCCAGCATCGTTCTTGGATAAGAAAAAGAAGAAGCGGGTATCGGCTTCATTATCCATTTCGATGCCATCAAGCATGATACGACATGTAATTGTAACTTTCATTTTACTTATCGCTCTGTCGCCTTGTACATCGACTGTCTGGCCGCAGATGCGATGCAGAATATATGGGAACGGGCCATGTGGCGTCTGTTTCTCAAACCCTTCTTTTGAGGATGCGATAAAGTCGTCGAGACGGCCTTGCGTCCAGGAGGTGGTTATGTAGGCGCCGGGGTGGAACATGGAAGAGTAGTTTTGCCACTCGGCTGCATCGCGGTACATCCCCCATCCTTCGCAGATTTCGCGGATCTTGAGGCGGTCGAGCACGGAGGCGTCGGTGCCGGAGGTGTTGTTGCGGGTGGCGTTTTGGGGGTAGGTGGATGAGGGGGGTTGGACGGTGGTGTATTCGAGGCTTGGGTGTGGCATTTTGGAGGTGTTGGATGGTTGGAATATGTTTACGGGATTTTTGGTATCTTTCGAATGTGGTATTTGTAGAGTTTGTGTAAACCTAGATATGTCGCTGAGATGCATGCAGTGGTAACCGTTACGTCATTGAACGACTGCCGAACATGAGGATTGTAACGGTCATGAAGACACACGTTCTTTTAAGAATCGTGCCAGGCCCCCACTAGTCACCCAGGTCTTGTATTCAGGAAGGTGTTGAACTCTGCCGTACATCGTTTCTGAGTCTTCCAAGGTCGGTATCAAGATGTATCTAGGGCTGCCGAGTGCGACTCGCAACGTCGATCGTAGCGATCATTCTCGCTTCAGTCTCTTCGCGGGGCTACCCTCCGCCGAGGCGGAACCCCTCTTTGTGTTGGTTTGCTAGCAACCATCTTATGTACAAAGAGATGCTTGCGTACAACTGTTTGTAGCAAGCATACTGCCGTATATAGGCAGCTCTTATCTCATGTTAGAATACATAATCAATTCATCTCATTCCTGCTCACATTCATGACTGTCGGGCTGCTCCATTGAAGGTTGCGCGCTCTCCCGCATCTGAAAGGTGAGAAATTGGGACGGTTGTCTGTCATGAACGCGCTCCAACTCCAGTCCTCGTGGTCATCCTGTGAAGTACCCGGTATTAGTCTTGGTATCAAGGTGTATCTAGGGCTGCCGAGTCTTGCGACTCACAACGTCGTTAGTTTGCTTGCTTGCGGGTTCCTTCTCGCTTGTGTTCTCGGGGTTGCTCGTCTTCTCGGCGCTGTCATCATCGTCCTCCGAGATTGCAGCCGAACTGCTGCCTTGCTCGTAATCGTTTATTGCTTGGAGTGCGGTTGCCTGGCTGTAGGTCGTCGGCTCTGGCCTCATATCCCGGGTCATCTCCTGCAATAGGCTGGGCATCGTTCGGAGAATTCTATCGTACGCAATCTGGACCTGGGGGCTGGTGCGGAATATGTGATCTACAAAATCTGTTTCCAGATCTTGTTCATTGGCGAATCGCGCCAAACCACCACCAGCCACCCAGGCCTTGTACTCGGGGAGGTGCTTGACGCGGTCGTACATTGTTTCGGGGATTGCGCGTCTCGGAACGCTCGCCGTCGCACTAGGGCTTTTTACAGTGTCTTTGCTGTTATCCGACATGTCTTGATAGTCTTGATAGTGTCTCTCAAGATCTTGTTGCGTGTGTTTAGAGAAGAGGATGTGTTGTGCGCGCGCCGATAATGTGCAGGTGATACGTCGGAAGCTTTCGTGAGGTGCAGGTAGGCCTAAGAAATGATGGTATGCAGAGGGACCCCTTGATGAAGCAGGATTTAAAGTCTCAGCTTCCTGACGTACCATGGTTCTGGGGACTTGCGGCTTGGCGTTGATATTCCGGAAGATAATCTGTGATGCTGCGCTTGCCGAAATTGAGATGGCCTTTGGAGCGGATGCGTGGTTCCTGTGGTTATGATTCAACAGGAAAAGTGAGGTGTTGACTACACGAAATCGCCCACCCAAGAAGGAAACTACGTTCCGTGTTCTTGCTCGGAAGTCTCGTGCCAGCCAACAAAACGATCGAACAGTAAGCGATCGGGTAGGTGCACCTGGCTTAGGCTGAGTGATGCAGGCAGGACGCCACGAAAGGATTTGAATACGCATGTGCCGGGGAAGGTGAACGAAGATTGATGCAGACGACTGAAAATGGCTTCATATACAACGCTACGTACTAAATATCTTACACGTTCTGCTCGTTGATGAACAGACCGGCCATACCCATGCCAGTACCAATGCACATACTGGTGAGCAGAACCTTCTTCTTCTGCCTCCTGCACTCGCTCAGACCAGTTACGATTTGACGCGCACCGGTGCAGCCGAGCGGGTGACCCAGCGCGATAGCACCTCCCCTTGGGTTGAGCTTCTGGTGGTCGATCTTGAGTGTCTCGAGACAGTATACGGCCATGGAAGCGAAAGCCTCGTTAAGCTCAATAAGGTCAACGTCCTCGAGGGTGATGTTGAACTTGGAGAGAAGCTTAGGGATGGCGACGGATGGGCCGATACCCATGATCCTGGGTGGCAGACCGGCGACAGTGGCACCGACGTACTTGGCGAGGATGGGCTGGCCGAGCTTCTCGGCCATGGAGCGCTTCATCATGAGGATGGCAGCGGCACCGTCTGTGAGTTGCGACGAGTTTCCGGCGTGTGACCGGTCGCCGTGGGGAAGGAAGGCAGGCTTGACCTTCTGCAGGCTCTCGAATGTGGTGCCGGCGCGGATACCCTCGTCCTTGATCAGGGTGACGGTCTTGACCTCGCCTGTCTTGGGGTCCTTGATCTGGGTGGTGATGGGCGCAATCTCGTCGTCGAACCAGCCCGCCTTCTGCGCAACCTCGGCTCTCCGGTATGACTCGGCAGCGTACTTGTCCTGGCGCTCACGCGAGATGTTGAAGTCCTTGCCGACGTTTTCTGAGGTCTGGCCCATGGGCTGCATGCAGTCCTTCGCCTCCTGGTTCTCGAGCACCTCGTCGACAAATGGTCTCTCGAGCCTGTCGCCGCCGGCTGTCATGCTCTCAGCGCCCATGGCGAGACCGCACTCGATGCTGCCGACGGCGATCTGGTTGGCAATGTCTTGTACGGCCTTGAGTCCCGAAGAGCAGAAGCGGTTCAGCGACGAGCCGGATGTGGTGTTGGGGAAGCCAGCGGCGAGCATGGCGGCGCGGACATAGTAGGCAGCCTTGGCATCTGAGACGTTGCCGACGCAGATGTCCTCTACTACTGCGGGATCGAGGTTCGACTTTGCGACGACTTGCTTGAGCGTCTTAACGAGGAGGCCGTCAAGGGTCGTGTCCTTGAAACCGCCCTTGTGCGCCTTGGTGAGGGGAGTGCGGAGGGCGAGGGTGATGACAACATCGTCGGGGTTCTTGGTGGTACTGTTGATGGCTGTCAGCGCTGCATTCTTCCCTTATCATCCGCCGCGCGTTCTTCACGTGTCATATCTGTCCCGGTGGAGCTTACAGGGCCGAGATGCCGCTGGCCGAGGGCGTCATGTGCGAAACGATGGACTTGAGGCGGTCGGTCATTGTGAAGTCAGAGAGGAGCGATTAATTGAGGTTTGTGAGTGAGGAAGGCGATGTTTAGGGGAGATGGTGAGTGAATGCGGAGGCGGAGACAGCTCTTAACTTAAGTTGTGGGGCAACATAGTCGCGACGGCTGGGCCGAGGATCTCGGAGCCACATATCGCCAGGTCACGTTCTCTCGGCAATTGCCCTCTTGCCAGGCCGGGCCTTTTTGCTCACTCAACAACAATGTTGAGTATACTAATCAGCCCATGTTCTCGTAAGCCAGAGTTCAAAGATCAGATGTATCAAGGTTTGCTTATCCACAGACGTCGGGGGCTGCAGTACTGGTCGCGCCTTCCCCGCAATTCGCCGCCACGCTGCCTGAGCCTCTAGCCTTGCACTACACAACTCCAACCTCATCTCAACTCAACCGCTGCTGAACGACACTCCATCTCTCCTCCATCTCATTCCAATCATGGCGAACTTTCGCACACATGCGCACGCGATTTTGCGACCTCTGCTTCGCGTTATTGCCCAATTGCCCCGAATGTACCGCCACGATTCCTTGGCAAAACGACGACGCGCAGAAAACACGCCGGTCTTCCAAATCGCGTTGCCTATAACATACACAATGTTCCTATCGCAATCTCTTGATAGGCGGTATGCTATTGCTTGGGATGGAGCGCATGAGCAACACAGCCTCCACAGCCAGCATCGAGACCCAATGTTTTGGTAACTGTGCCACCTAGTTGTTATGCTGTCAAAGGAAATTTGGCCCCCAAACGCCATCACTGCCCGCACACCGCATCCCACAAGGCAAGTCTAAACGCGAATCGCGCTGTCAAAAGGTAAGGGTGGTCAGCCTTGCATACGTCGCGTAGCATTTTCACAGTCATACTCTTAATTCATCGTTCATACTACAGACGTCAACCACGATGCCGTCGGAGGTTGCCTGGATGCTTTGTCCTCAACACGCCGAAAACAAACCAGGCGAGCGACTCAACGCCATGTCCTTATTGAAATCTCGCTCAAGATCCTAGCAAGACCCAATGAGCCTAAAGTGGCTTAAGGCGCACCGCGGAATGCATGCTGTCTGCACGCGCCTGTTGATAGACCCACACCCTCATTGGAGAGAGGAAAGCAACTCGCGAGGCTTGCATGGTCTCACACAACGGGAGCATGGGGGCGGCGGAGCAGGGCTGCGCTTTGACCTCATCCTTCCCATCCCTTGTGAGTACTACAAATGCTCGCTGCTGGTCTCGACCTGTTTGCAGTGGTACGCGATTTCATCGCCTCTCCGACCTCAGCCATGGCCGATTTCGCAACCGCATCCATGACGATTTCCTTCAGTTCCTCCTTCACGCGAGCGACACCCTCCTATTCGATTATGACCCCTTTCACTCCGCCGTCTTATTGCAACAACGTTGTCAAGTCGTCATGTTTTCTTGAGACACCGTCTAGTGGAACTTCAACTGGCACACCTACCCTAAGTTGTGGGTTCATTGAGCGCGATCAGACCTGCGGTTCAAATGGACGCCCCACCCGTGCTAGCGAATGCTTTCCAGGCAGTCCGTTCCCATACTCGCTCTTGACATACTCCCCGGCTACAGGTTGTCCTGGTGGGTGGGCAACGCAAAGTCAGATTATAGATTCGTCAAGCCAGACCACCGCAGTATGCTGTCCATCGTGAGTAGGTTCTGGCCAGCATGTTTGGCAGTCACTGACGTTGTTTATCAGTGGTTACTCGGCGCATACCTATTATTTCGCGAGTTGTACCAGTTCGATCACCTGGACCGCCAATTCGACTTCGGTCTTGGCCTGCCAGACGGATGGAAGCTTGGCTTCTGAACGGTTTACCAGCGAAGATGGTAGCGGCAACACAGCCGTTTGGGCCGCGAAAATGGAAGTGATTCTTACCACTGCATTGGCCTCAGAGGCGACATTCACCCCTCTCAGCGAACCAACATTAGATTTCGGTCCTCCTCATTATAACCCACCACCTGCCAATTCCCCAGAACCCAAATCAAGTCGTCTCGGTACTGGCCCCATCGTCGGCATCGCCGTGGGCGCGGTCGCCGCACTGGCACTCCTTGGTGGACTCTTCTTCTTATGGCGTCGCCGCCAAAATCAGCACCACCACGCACCGATACCGAAGGCTAGCCCGAGTGGAGAGCACGACGCGCTACCTGAGTTCGTGGGAAACCATGGCACGATTTCTCCGCCTACACAGATGGCGAGTTCGAATGGGTTGTTCCATCCACAGCCGGAGGTGAGGTCGCCGAGATTGGAAACAGCGCTCACACCAGGGCGTTGATGGGTTTTGATGGCTTGGATTTATACTTCGTTTGTTACTATATTGATACCCATACTGTTTAGCAGAGAGCAATACGTTGTGACCACTTGGTCGTTCGAGACCGGCTGAACCTTCCCTATTTTGTGGTCGTGATTCTTTGTGATCAGGCTTTTGTTCGGTTCCGCCTTCCTAAATCTAGTGACGTGCAATGTCTGATGCAAAACGCATCTGCATTTGAACTATCTCTGCTTATAGTAAGACAGAGAATATAGCTATACCAATAAAGGCCTCAGCAATTACTAGCCACAGCTAATGCTGCAGTGTTTGTCGGAACAGCCGTAAATTGAGCGAGGCTCTCTCGTAGTCCGCAAACAGTCTCGCGATAGGCATGGCGAGCGTTCGTGGCAACACCAAGATGCAAAACAGCACTTCAGCGAACATGATCAGGGCTATCACAACCATACCGTACACCAGAGTACCATGTTAATGAGCAGCCCGAACCACTTGGACCAAGGCGCACTCTATTTATCTTGATATCCACGACAGCTTCGCGGGTCGGTCATGCCGAGCGTATAATCCCACTGCGCATCCGCAGCTCCGTTTGAACATCCTTTGTGCCAATCATCGTCATATAAATAACATAAGATTCCCGGCAAGGTTGGTTGCCAAGAATCAATCTCTCACCCGCTTTAACGCATGGGCAGATGTGCGGCGCAGCATACGGCGCGGAACTCAAGCAACATTTGCGAATCTCGTCACACCGTTGACCGTCCTCTCATTAGCCGACGGTATCATGCGACGCATTATAATGTTCTCGTTGCCATGCGTTGCATATGAATGCACGGGTGCCTTCGATCCCCATACGTTTATCCTCGTCTTCTCGTAGCGAAAAATCATCCTCTCTTCTCCGCAACATGGCCGACTCCCCCTCTACATCTTCGTCGTCGTCGTCGTCGTCTGCTAGCGAACAAGCAACATCATCCTCTACTTCCAGCAACATAGACACCACTTCC